CGATTCCCCCACCACCCTTCGCGATTCCCCCCCTCCACCAAAGTGAGTTCAATTGAAATCCCTCAAATTTTTTTACAAATTGAAATTGTTTTATGTGGTTTACAATTCAAAATTTTTTAGAGATTGAAGTTGTTTTATGTGTTTTTTTTACAAATTTTTACAAATTTTTCAAAACTTTTTGCAGAGTTTTTACAAAATTTTTTACAAATTTTTAGAACTCAAATTAGCTGGAAAAAAATTGCAGCCAAAACAGCCCCAAATTTTTAGAACTCAAATTTGCTGCAAAAAAAATTGCTTCCAAAACAGTCCTACTTTTACCCAAAACAGCCCCAATATTATATTTAAACTTGTTAAACATACTTTTTAGCACTTTCATTAAACTTGATTACTTGTTGTGTGTTATGAAACTTTGTGTTTATATAATGTGTTTTGTATGTAATGGAACTTTGTGTTTATTGGGCCATGTTGTGTGTTATAAAACTTTGTATTTTTATAATATGCTTTGTGTGACTGTATGTTATGTTGTCTTGAGTAGTAGGATGGAGGAGGGCAATGTGAGTTGCGGCGAGGTGTGTCAAAGGTCTTCTAGGTGAAAGTCGAGGAGGAAAGCCATAGGTGCTTGTATTGGTGTCTTTATTTTGGAAGATATTGTCCATGACAATTGTTTTTTTTGTTGTTGTATTGTTGGCATTGTTGTGTTTTTGAAGTTTTAGACAAGTAATGTTTTTTGAAATAAACCTATCATCTTGAATGTATGTTGTGATGTGTGAATTTTGTTTAATTGTATGTTTGATAAAATAAATATGTACTCCCTCCGTCCCATAAAGATTTACCCCTTTCATAAAATTTTTGTCCCACAAACATTTACACATTTGCCTAAAAATGACATTCCTACCCTTAAACCTAATTTCTACCCCCACCCTCTTACCCCACCCACCATCCATTCATCCTCTCTAGTCTCTCCTATGCATCCCCTCATCCATTCATCTTCTCTCCTCTATCCCTCTCTCTGTGGCTGCTGTTCCTCTTCCCCATCGCCGCCGGCACCCTCAAGAATTCACCAAAAATGGTGGGTCGCGATCCTACCATGCCCTCCTTCAAGCTTTTAAGCGATAGCGAAGATGAAAGGGCATCTCCCCAGCCACCTCATGAATCTAAAAAATCACTGATACCTCCTTACGACTCTGGTGATAGCGCATCTGACACGGATGATACAGATCCGACGTGGTAGTATCGGAAAAAATATTTGGGGGGTGACTTCTTTCCGTCTGAGGATGAAGGAGGCAGTGTCGAATCTGATGGGGAAGATGGGGAATCAGTAACTTCTGCCCAGATCTTGGAGATGTCTGATACAGAAATAATTTTATCTGAGCCCTATGGAGATGAGGCTAAAGCACTGCGTTACAGACAGAGTATTATGTTCTTCCTCTTTAGATTCACATACGATTAGTACTTGCATGTCCCATTATATACTCTGTATAATGTTTATTGGCAAACTTATGATGCAAACAAAATTTGTGTGAATGGTTGGAAGTCTGTGAGCTTTTTTTGGGTTTAGCTATATTGTAATGTCACCCCCTATGGGTTGGAGACTTACAACACTGTATTGGTCTGGTCTACCATATTGTTACAAGACACTCTCCCCGAACCACCACTTTTAAACCCCAAACTACCACTTAACCCACTTACATTAGGGACAAACTTTGTATACCCCAGTTGAGTACTCCACTTGCTATAATATTTTGCTTTACACTTAACATGGACTTAGGGCAGGTCCTACACTTGATTACAACATGGGTTGCCTCTTTCTAATTCTCTGGTTCATTTACAACACCTGATTAGGGCAGGTCCTACACTTGATTCTATTGCCTTTATCTATTTCTCTGGTTCATTTACTACACTTGATTCCTAAAATATTTTCTAAAGAACAATGCTTAGGGCAGGTCCTATTTGTTGCCTCTATCTGATACATTTGCTGCACTTGATACACTTCATTCCAATAAAACTTTGCTGCACTTGATACACTTCATGATATTCTTTTACAAAAAGCAAAAAATGTGCAGTCCCTATTGTATGCTACACTTGATCAGAATATGATATACTTTTACAAAAAGCAAAAATTGTGCAGTCCCTATTATATGCTACACTTGATCAGAATATGATATACTTTTACAAAAAGCAAAAAATGGCATTCTAGGCCAACAAAAAGCAAAAAGAATGTGCAAAAGGTTCACTTGGAAGTACATATAGATATTGTACCTTTCCTTGACCACCTTTGCACACACAACAAAAAAGTACTTAATCATTAAGTACTTACATATGTTCCTGTAAGAACTTTTGTGCATTCTCATACACTTCTGTGCTTACTCCCAAATTCTGTGGTAGTATTCCTTGTCTGGCCAACTTACTTTTTCCCATATGAGGAATTTTGAATTGGTTTCTTCCATTGTGACTGAGTATCTCACCCATCACCCCTTGTAGAGTTAAGAAGACATTATTTAGTTTGTCATGTGATATTTCTTCAAAGGCTGTTGTAACAGACTTAACCAAGTCTGTCAATGACCTAGGAGTTGTTTGGTCTTGTACTGAGTCAATGGATCTAAAAAAATCCTAGATCAAGTACATTTAAATCAGGGCTGTTGGGGGGCTGGAATTTCAGTTGAATGTTCCAGTCTCCTTGAGCAGCAGCTACAATTTCAGGGTCATTGCCATCCACATGAGGCTTAGCATTATCTTGTTGGATAATAATATCCCTTGATGACCCATGCCATTTCTGCTTAATTGCAGGTATCAAATTAGTCAGTAACATTCTCTTCATAACATCTCTATTCACAGTTGGTTCAGCCTTTGTTTCCAATGTCCCTGCAGGCCTGTTTTTACTAGACCTTTGTGCTGCCTGTTCAAAAGTGAATGGGAAAATGCCTATTTTCCCATCCCATAACACATCTCCACCCTCCCCATACCTTGGCCTGCCTACTGCAGCTAGGAACATGATCTTTGGTATGAAGCTTTTGCTTTGAGTGGTTCTGTAGGGGTCAGGTTCCTCTGGAAGAGCATAGAATGTTGTGTTTTTTTGGTGATTTCAAACCATTTTCATCAATGTGAATGTGATCATAAAAATCATGAAAAGTTGGGCTTATGGGGAGTGATTGAGGAGATATATGGTCAAGACAGAATTTCAATCTTTTTTGCTTACCTGACTCACATAAGTATGGCTTTATAGCACTAGAATGTCTCCTTATCTCTTTGCGCTTTAGCCATCTGTGGACTGTGGATTTTGAAACCTCCATAGCAAAGCTAAGTGCACGCATGTTCTTGCGTCTAGACAGCGGGATAGCTGCCAGTTTTTCCATGTCTACAGGGACCCTTTTTTTTGCCACAACTTCCTTTCCAATGGCATTGAACATCAATAGGTAGGCCAGAGTCCAATTGAGCTTTAGCAATTTGCCAAATGTTGCTCACAGTTTTCCTTGTAAAGCTGAATTCCTTAGCAACTTTGCTGATTAAACCGTGCTGAAGTTTGCCATCCTTTGACTTTTCTAGTAAAACATCAGCAACTCTTCTTCTTTTTTGATTAAGTTGAGCTCCTTTACTCTGTGCTTCTGTTTCTGTTTCTGTTTCTGCTGCAGGGGTGAAAAGGTTGTCGAAGGGGACTTGTATAACATCGGGTAGATGGTGCAACGACGAGGAGTCATGTGTCGATAAAGACGAAGGTGAAGAAGGCTGCTCGGGAGGGGGCATTGAAGGCAACCGGGCCAGTAAGAAGATAAAGATAATAAAATGAAGAAGATAAGTGAAATGAATGCATTCAATGCATTCATTTAAATAGGCAGTGCCTGTATGAATTTGTAATTTTTTGTTTAGGTTTTGGAGGAGTGTTTTGGAGGGAATATCAAATTTTCCCAAAAAAATTCACCATCTAAACAAATTTAATGAATGTAATGTATGGTGATGGTGAATGTAATCCCTGTAGTATGAGACATGGGCAGTACGGATGGGTTTTTTGGGGTATGATTGCCTGCCATAGTTAATGTGATGCGTACTCCACTAGCTATAAAATTTGCTTTACACTATTCATGAGTTCATTGCAATTTTGCTTTTTGATTAGGGTTGGGGGGTAAATTGGGGAAGTCAAAGCAAAAAATTGGTTCCCTTATTTTGCTAAAAAGTCAAAATGGGTAAGACTCAAAGGGACGGAGGGAGTATTATTTTTAACAAATTAATACAACGGGAATTCTATTCCCTTTCCTCCCTTGTTTTGAACCAAACACGAACAAAGGGAATTCTATTCCCTTTCCTGCATTGGACCAAACAGACATAGTAATTCAATGGTAATCATTCCTTTTTCCCCTGATTCCCTTTTCTGTTTCCTTTCCCTTTCCTTAAATGTAATGGTGTAGATCAAATTTGAAAATGATAACACTAAGTGCTGTTGCTAGAGAGTCTTTTCAAAATGCTAACACTAATATCTAATGTTATTGACTAATATTGAGTAAATTTGTTTGAACATAACACTATTTGAATTTATCTTTTATCTTTTCATTTATAAACATAATTTTGATAGATGTGAGAAAAATTTGATAGATCAACTAAATTTTGAAATTAGTTTAATTATATTAAATTTATATCATAATTAATTATACTCCCTCCGTCCGGAAATATTCTTCCCGTGTTGACTTGGCACGCTTATTAAGGAATAGTAAAAAAAATGCAAAATTTTCAAAAATCCACATACTATAAACTTTTAAATCTTCTTTTATTATTAAAAAAGTACTAAAAAAGTAGATTTGTGATAAAATAGAAGGGTATTATTGATTTTTATCCTTAAAAAGTATACTAAAAAAGGAAATGGGAAGAATATTTCCAGACGGACCAAAAAGGAAAGTGGGAAGAATATTTCCGGACGGAGGGAGTATATTTTTTCATAATTTGTAGTCTAAATTTGTAAAATATGACTAAAAAGTCAAAAAGAGAAGATTATTTAGATTAGAGATAATATAATTAGAAAAGAATATAAAATAATATGAGGCATTGGATTGATGGTAGATTGATAAATGTGATAATACATAAAAAGAAACATGGATAATTAAATTTTAATTAGAAAATAATATTCCATTCGTCCTAAAACTTTCTTCCTAGTGCACTATTCCAACTTCATGGGAATTTATATTTATTTGTGTTTTTTCATAGGCTATATGATAAAATAAAATATTCTTATCATCACTTGTTTTGTTGAACTTTTGATATAGTTTTTAAATATGTATGTTTTATTTTTTAATTCTATACCAATATTTAAATAAAATAGATTGAAAAAACTTAGGATTTTTTTTCGTTTTGCGTACCGAGAAGAAAGATATAGGCCGGAGGGAGTATATACACAATGTAACGACCCAAAAACTGGCTTAGTAGTTAGCCATAATTTTTAAGAAAAAAAAGTTTATCATTTATTTATAGGAAATATGAACTATTTGTAAAGTTGTCCATTTTAATAGCTAACTTTTAGGGTGTGGCTCTACCTTATGCTGTTGTGCATGTATCATTGGAGCTCTCTCTTAAATTGGATCAGAAGTCTTTTTTAACAAAACTTTAAATAGAAGTATAAAAATTACTCTCTCCGTTCGGAAATGTTCTTTTCATTTGATTTTTCACGGTCTCCAATATTACACTTTGACCATTAATATCTATATTTATACATAGATATATTTTATAAAAAATTGATATTTTAAAACTACGTTTCTTTATAATCTATTGATATTAAATTTACATCATAATACACTGTGTTTTTTCTACAAATTGTAGTCAAAGTTTATAAACTTTGACCAAGAAAAGTCAAATGTGAAGAACATTTCTGGACGGAAGGAGTAGATCCAAAAATCCAATCCGAATGTAATTTTTACTAATCATATGATAATTAAAATTTTTTGTTGCTTTTATGTCGCAAAGAAAGAAATGTAAAAATAATGAAAATCGTATCATAGCCATGTCACTCATTAAATAGGGTGGTCACTTTTAAACATTTTTGAACTATCAACATTTGATATCAGATGAAAAATGTCATAAAATTTAGGCTAATAGGCAATGAAAAAACATTAACAAAGGTGGCCTCATTAACAAAGGTGTAAATATAGTAATATACGAAGGACATTAGTAATAAGAACTAAAGATAAAGTTAGTTAAATTTTGGTCCGTAAGTCATCGTATCATGTACAAATGGAAGCGACTAAGTGAAAGCTTATTTAATCTAGCAAACTAGTATAATCCAAGAAAAAATATGAGAACTTCACATAACCAAAAATCTATAATGTAGGAAGTCTGGAAGCACATGAGAGTATTTCAATCTTTGCTTGAAAGCATTAGATAAAATCTTCCATGTTAACCTTAATCATATAGTCAGTGTTTCGTACATGATGCTATTCATACCTCAAACACCACCACTCTCAATCATTTAACCAGCCCACCAATCAACCCAAATCCCTCTTTTATAACTTCAACCCTACAAATCCCAGCTCAAATCACACCTATTCAAGGCCAACCCTCCAGCTCCCAATCACACCCAACCAACAGCCCACCCAAAACAACGAAACCCATGAACCCAACTACCCCCAAAACAGCACCCCACAAACAAACCCTTCATCCTTACCTGAACCCCCAATTCCTACCTCTTCTGTAACCTTCCAACTTAAAAATCCTCCTCCCCTTGTTTTGGCAAAAACACCTCAACAAACCACCCCTCTCAACCCTGAAACACCCCATACAGAAAACACAACAGAAGATCAGCAACCTCCAATTGATTACATCATCATCCAAACCATTGAAGGAGAAATTTTCAACATCTGCAGCAAAAATGCTAGGATACACAAGTCCAAAGATGACACAGAAATCAATCCTCTTCTGCCAAAATACTCAATCACCTACCTCTCTGATGATGACTCCACAAAGCTGTAAAATGACACTTCTATTGATCAACACAGCTCCTTCACTTCAGAAGAGCCCCTACAAACTGAAAACCCCTCTCAGTTGAATAAACTCTGCAGCAACAATCAAGAGGAACCACCCACAGTAACTACCACAAGAAAATCTAAAAGAATACAAGCAAAACAATCCTCAGACAGTAAACAAAGCACAAGTTCCCAATGAATTGTCTCTTCTGGAATGTTTGTGGAGTAGCCTCTAAAATTCAGAGGCTAGCCACAATTGTTAAGGAACATAAGATCAACTTCATCACAATAATTGAACCCAAAAGCCATCCGAGCAAAATCCTAAAATTTCAGCTTGATATGGGTTTCGCACATTCTATGCAGAGCTTTAGTAACAGAATCTGGATGATGTGGAAAGATTCTCAATATAACTACATTTCACACTCAGACCTGGGTCAACTCCTCAACATTAGGCTCCAGGATAAGATCAATAACAGCAAGATAACCATAAGTGGAGTCTATGGGAAACACACCAAGGAAGAAAGGAAAATGCTCTGGAAACACATCACTGAGCTTAGCAAAGAGATGGAGTGCCCCTAGATTGTAGGGGGGAGATTTCAATGCTATATCCTCTATTGACCATCATAAAGGCAAAAGCTCCCCATGTCTTCAAAGTATCTCTGGTTTTAATCAATGCTTAATGGAGAGTGGCCTCTTTGACCCCCCACCCCTTCATAGGAAACCCCCACACATGGACAGGGGTTAGGGCTCAACCATTTCCAGGACATCCACACTCATCATCTCCCTAGAGGCACATCTGACTACTACCCCTTAAAACTCACAGCAAGGAACCCCACCTACACAGGCCCTAGACCTTTCAGATTCTTAAACTGCTGGACAAACCACCCTACCTTCATGAAGTTAGTGAAAGACAACTGGGCACCATATAAGGGGGGGGGGGGGGGGGNAACTACAGTTGCTAAAAGGTCATCTTCAGCTTTGGAACAAAACAAGTTTTGGCAACATTTTCTCAAAAGTCAAATTGCTTGAACTCAGCCTACAAGAAGCTGAGACTTATGACAATGAACCTACTACTGATAACAGGAGCAAACTGCATCATATCAGAGCACTTCACACAAGAGCCATAAATACAGAATTCAATTACTGGAAACAAAAAGCAAGCATCAAATGGCTTAAAGAAGGGGACTGTAACTCATCTTTCTTCCACAACAAAGTGAAAGAAAAAGAATTTTCCAAAAAATCCAAAGGATAAAATCCTCTCAAGGTCAATGGCTGCTGGACAACAACCTAATTCTAGAAGAAGCCCACTCTTTCTACTCTAAGCTTTTCTCTTGGAAGAAAAGTGAAAACATTGCTACCTTCACCAGCAACATTCCTACTCTCATAACATCATAACATCAGAGGATAACATTTTCCTAGCTACACTACCAACAGAGGAGGAAACCAAAGAAAGTGTATGGAGCCTTGATCCCACAAGTGCTGCTGGACCAGATGGCTTCATAGGAGAATTCTTCAGATGTTGCTGGGACATTATTAAGGAGGATGTGACCAAGTCAGCCCAAGAATTCTTCATTGGGATTACAATTCCTAAATCCATGGCCAACACAAATATCATCCTGATTCCCAAAAGAGAAAACCCTTGCTCATTTGAGGATTACAGACCTATCTGCCTATCAAATTTCATGGCCAAAATCATCTCAAAAATCCTTGCTACAAGAATTGGGAAACTGCTACCTAAAATAATTTCCCAGGAACAAGGGGCTTTTATTAAGGGAAGAATCATCCAGGACCAGATACTCCTTGCACAAGAACTGATTCATGGAATTGACTACAAATCCAAAGGGGGAAACCTAGCTATAAAGCTGGACATGTCCAAGGCCTTTGACAGGGTTTCATGGGATTACCTTGAAGGCATTTTACAAACTTTTGGCTTTGGTGACCATTTCAGAACCCTTATCTCAAATAATCTGAAGGCCACAAAACATTCCATCCTCATCAATGGCTATCCAAATAAAGCCATCAACCCTGAAAGGGGACTAAAACAAGGTGACCCATTATCTCCACTCCTTTTCATAATTGCTGCAGAAGGATTTAGTAGAAGACTAAATCATCTGGCAAACACCAAACACATTGCATCATACTCTACGGGCAGACACTACCAACCAATCACTCACCTAGCTTTTGCAGATGACTAACTCATTTTCCTTAATGGTACTGCTACCAACCTCTCAAAGTTTTCTGCTTTTCTCAAGGACTATGAGGAAGCCTCTGGACAAACCATCAACCAGAGCAAATGCCATTTCTACCCTCCTCCCAAAACAAACACAGGGAAAGCTAACAAAATGGGAAATATTCTAAACATGAACAAAGGCACTTTTCCCTTCAAATATCTGGGTGGACAAATTCACAGAGGCATCAACAGGAAAAGCTACTGCACTGATCTCCTTAACCACTTTGATAAAAAACTCCTGAGTTGGTACAAGAAGCTCCTTTCACAAAGTGGCAGGATGATCCTAATAAAACATGTCCTCAGTGCAATCCCTCTCCATATCCTAGGCTGCACTAAGCTCCCAAAAAGTGTGGTCAAAATCCTGAACCAAAAGATGAATAACTTCCTTTGGGGAAGCAAAGAAGGTAAACCCAATTACCATTGGAGCAAATGGGATACTCTCTGTCTACCTAGAGAGGAAGGAGGTCTTGGGTTCACAAGTAATGATACACTTCAAAAATCCTATGAACTCAAAATGTGGTGGTCCTACGTGACAAACAACTCAATTTGGTCCAACTTCCTCCATCAGAGATACCCTAGAGGTCTCAATGTCCCTCCCCAGATCATTGACTCTCCAACCTGGAAGAGACTCTGCAAAACCAATGAATCCACAGCTGAGATCCTAATCATTGATGACCAGAGTAACCTCACCTGGAAGGATGGTAAAACTGGCTTCTATTTACGGCAGGCTAAAGAGGTAGTGAGAGAGAAAAACAACCCCATCCCTTTCCTAAAATATGCTTGGAACAAACAACAATACCCTAAAGTCTCCAACTTCCTTTGGAGACTCTACAACGATACCCTCCCTTTTTCCCCAACCAACTAACAAAATTCAAAATCTGCCTTCTCTCTATATGTCTTTTTTGCAGGAATAATGAAGACAGTGCCAATCACACACTCAAGGACTGCATTTTCAGAAAAGCCATTTGGAACCATTTCGAAGGTCATTTTCACATCACAAGAACTACCACACATGGGATAAGGGCTTACCTTATGAGATGGTGGCAACAATCAGATCCGCCAAGTCCCAACAGAGCAGCCAAATTGGTGATTCCAGGAATAATTGCCAATGAAATCTGGAAAGAAAGAAACCACAGATATCACAATGAAGACCACAAGTCAGCCTACCAAATCACTCAAATGATATGGAAGTCACTCATTGAATGGGCCACAATTAAAAAAAAGAAGAAAATTCACTTCACCAATCAAGAATTACCGGGCATCCACACTCCAGCAATCAAAATCTTGAAATGGAAAGGAGAATCCGAGGGAGTGATACTTACCACAGATGTGGCGAACCATAGGGCTGGGGTAACCATACTTTACTCCCTCGCTATCCTATATGGCTGGGGTGTGTGTGGGGGCATTCGGGGTGGCTGTTCCACCTTTTTTAAATTAAAAATAAAAAATATGTTCATTGAGTGAGACCGCCATAAATTTTTAAATTATGTTACAATCTATTTTAAATGAATGCATCAAGATCTTATTTTTCTAAGAGCACTGGCAGCGGCAAGGAGGAGCCTTGCCACGCCCTGCCCTCCGTGTAGAGTGAAGTGCGGCGCAGTGGGCGAGGAAAAAAATGGGTCGCGAGGCATTCCGCGAGTCACTTCGCGTTGCGTGGCGGATGCGAGGCATAATCGAAGCAGCAAAATACAATTACTCTCTTAGAAAATACAATTACTCTCTTCTCTCAGCTAGTTTTCTCCGGCAAAATTGAAGCAGCAAATCTTCTCCGGCCATCATCGTTCCCCTGCGACCCTCACTCAGGTAACTCCATTCATCTTTGCTCTGCATTCCATCTCTGTGGTTGATCTCTTTTAGGCCTAATTGGTTGTTTTTAATTCATCAAAAAATCAAATAGATGAATTCAGTGTAGTGCACACTAGGTGTTTGACAAAATGTCCAAATGTAAGTTATTGAGTTTTTGGCCAAAAAATACTATTATTTGACAAAAAAATACTATTGTTTTTCCACTTTCCAGTCTTTTTTTGCAGAACAAACCAAAAGTGATATATATAGTTGGGAACCAAAAGTGGGAAGGATCAAAGCCTTGCAAATTATTGCATACTGTGTAAAAGAGATGGAATGCAGAAATATTTCAATCCTTGCAAATTTCAATATGTACATCCTTACAAATTTCAACATCTACAGAAATATTTTGTGTGTCATAGTGAGCAACCAGAATTTAACTCATTATTTAAAAAAAAGGTGTACCTTTCTCATACAGTTTGTTGCCAAACTGCTAAAGTGCAATGGTAAAAGGATTGCATTGTGCTAAAGTACATGGTTAATGAAATTCAAAAGTCAATAATGGAAAAAGAAATGTAGCATAGCAATAAGGTCCACATTAAATTTTATTTAAAAATCATTTTGGTTTTTACTTAAATTCAAATACTTATAGACCTCACTGGACATTTAGATTTGGAACTTAAAATTGGAAGCATAAGTGAGTTCTTGGTTCCTTTTTCCATAATATTTTCATATTTGTCTTCCATTGAAGTTTCTCTCCATCTGTTTTTCTTTTTTTCCTTTTAGAGTTGTTTTTCAAAACCAACAATAGTATCAGTTAAAGCTAAAGCTTAGCTTGGCTGTTTTGCACTTGCTTGGTCTGTTGTATTCTCAATCTTTGAAATCTCAAACCATTAATTATGGTCTGCAAGTTCTTGGTGGAAAAATTTAAGAAGAAATGTGTTTCATTTTCAACAGAATCTATCAATGTGTTTGGAAAATGATTGAAGATGTTGAGTCTTTTCCATATCCTCCAATTTCTGTTTTCTTATGCTTAAATCTTTTGATTTTGTTGTGCATCTAACTAATGCAGCTTTTGCTGGATTTTGGGAAATGGATGAACCACTTAAGAGGACATTGACTGTATTTCTTGATTGGTATAAAATTGGAAATTTTGCTCTTTAGTATTTGCTATTGATAGAACATTTTTATCATGCAAATTGAATTCTATACAGTTTTGAACTTTTGAGGATTAAAAAAGACACCCATAATGAGATGTAGTCTTTGCTTCTTATCTATGTCCACTCTCATTGGTTTTGTTGTTTGTCCATGTTGCAAATTTACAAGATTTGTTCTTCCGTAGTTCTGAGGTCGTGGTGTCATATGACTTGTGGATATGCATGGCATGCATTCTTTGGATCCCTAGAAGCCAAAACGACATCAATGTTCTTCACCGTTGTTTGATGAATTATATGTTGACCAAGCCCCAAAATGTGAATACATTGTGAACGGTCATAAGTATGATATCGGGTATTACCTTGGCGATGGAATATACCCAAGGTGGTCAACCATTGTCAAATCAATTCCACATCCAAGAGAACCAAAGGAAAAATTGTTTGCAGAGTGGCAAGAGTCATATAGAAAGGATGTCGAGCGAGCATTCGGTGTACTACAAAGTCGATTTGCAATAGTCCGCGAACCTTTCAAATGGTTATTATGATGTGTTTCTCGGATTTTTTTGATGTCAAGCGAGCATTCTTGAATTATTATTATGATGTGTTTCTCGGATTTTTAAAATGATTGTAATAGAGTTTTATGTTGATGCATTTTTATGATTATGTTCTTTATATTTTCTATCCCAACTTTTTTTTACATAATTTCATATCAAATTTTTAAAATGTGCCGTCATAATTTATATTTTATTTTTAATTTTCCATATTCAAATAAATTACTAAATAATTATGAATAATTAAAGTATACTTTGTACATTTTAAATCTTCACAAAAAAATATAAACATTTATAAAAAAACAAAAATAAAATATATTGAGTTGAGAAAAAGTAAAATAAAATGATTAAAATATGCCAAAAATCTAAATTGAGTAAAAAATAATGACTTGCCACTGCATGACATACCACTCCAATGCCATGCCACTGTGTGACTAGATTAACTTTGATTGGTTAAACACTGTGTCAGCGTGTCGCATTCCAGTATATGACTTGCCATTGTTCATGCTCTAATTCCCCTATACCTATTTTAGTTACTTTCCTCCAAATTACGTATACATATAAGAGAGAAAAATAAGATCTACATATAACCCACGGTGGTCTAATTTTTTATTGTGCAATTGTAAATAAAATAAATAAATAGATTTGTAAAATATAATAAAGAAATTAAGATACTAAAATTCAATACAGACGAATGTAATTTCAAAGAAATATAATTATGTATTATTACTATTTGTTTTTTGTATGAATTTCACCTTAATTTGTTGGTTTTTATGGATTTTTTTATTTTTTGGCTCTTATGTAATATAGTACTCCCTCCGTTTTAAATTAATTTTTCTTATTTTTTTGGTTATCCCAAATTAATCTTTCTCTTTTTTGAAAGTCCTTTTTTATTTACTCTACATCACTTTCAATGATACAATTTTACTTTTATTAAACTTTGTGTAAACTCAAACTAGGCTCATTAAATGGGGACTGAGGGAGAATTATGTTCTTAAACAATTTTTATTTTAAAAATAATTTTCCATCAAAAAATAAAAATGAGAGTGGGAGAGATTGGCACAAAGGGGTAGAAGTAGAACCATAGTATATTGACGTATAAGGCTAATCTTGCCATTTACTTAAAAGAATTAGAAAGGTGGAGCGCCATTATAAAGTCTTGGAGCGCAAATATCAATTCACATATTTAATAAGTAAGAAGAATGAAAAAGAAAAAGATCTAGTGTTTCATATTAATGTTTGAAAAAAGAGAGATTTTTCAAACACGAGGCGAGTATAAGACAATTTTAAGACTGAATTGAGTACGATTACCCACTCAATGAAGATTTTTACCGGAGACAGAATAAACAAAATCACATCGCTGCAAAATGCCTTTGTATCAAACTATTGAGATACATGTAGCACAAGGCGTAATACATGTGGATTTTGTGTATCCACGAATTAAGCCGTTGAATAAGAGGAGTAATAATCGCCGGAGTGTTTGATACATCGTCGTCGGATAACTTCTAGAGTGAGGAAGAAGACGGCGTGTGTGGATACACTATGTCCACGACATAAGCTAGGGTTAGGGTGGGAGTATACACATTTCAAAATGGGTTGTGATTTATTAGAATGGGCCGAATAAAACGGCCCAATCATTTAATTTTTTTTGGGTTTTCAAATTCAATTAATTTATAAAATAACAACAACAACCCAGGTGAATCCCACAACAGCAGGGTCTGGGGAGGGTGTGTGTACGCAGACCTTGCCCTTACTCGGAAGTAGGGAGGCTGTTTCCAAGAGACCCCCGGCTCCACCTGCACAAAAATATGGAAAGGAACACAGTATAACAAATTTATAAAATAAATAACTCTAAAATTAAAAAAGAAAATGTAGTTTCTGAAATCATAGTTTTAAATCTTTCATTTTGGTCCTTTTTAAGGCAATATTTTTTATATGTGAAATATCTTTGTTTTTCCATTGTTTTCCCATTGTAAATAGTGTCCATGTTTAACCGTATTTTTAAAAGTATTCATTCACGAGGTAGTCAATGCAAAGTGTTGTTTGGTATGATGGAATAAACCAAATTTGCTCTTTAAAATTGTCTGCACTTCTTGCAATAGTGAAGTAGCAGTTTGTCAATGCAACTTTCGACACTCATCAGGTTATCTGGAAACAACCACTCTATGTTTTAAACATAGGGGTCAGACTGCGTACATCCAAACCGTATTTTTAAAAGTATTCATTCACGAGGTAGTCAATGCAAAGTGTTGTTTGGTATGATGGAATAAACCAAATTTGCTCTTTAAAATTGTCTGCACTTCTTGCAATAGTGAATTAGCAGTTTGTCAATGCAACTTTCGACACTCATCAGGTTATCTGGAAACAACCACTCTATGTTTTAAACATAGGGGTCAGACTGCGTACATCCAACCCCCCTACCCAACCATGGGCGGGAGCCGTTGAGGCACTCGGGTAATGTTGTACTAAAGACAACTAGTTGTGAGTGGGTGGCTAACCTGAGGGTAGATGAATCATTCTTCCAAGAGGCACTGGGGTAATGGCGTACACACAGGTTTGCTTCTACATTCATAAGACTTGTGTTGGTTATGGTGCAAAGCAAAAGTGGGAACATTCAAGAAAAATGTAAGAAGTACAAATTATAAATGAAAAAGATAGGAAAGGATCACAACTTACAAAAGGTTTACGAATAAACATTACACATAAAAGGGAAAAAAGACGTAGTATTAGTATTAAATAAACAAAAGAAAGAGCAATCGAAGATACCAAGGTCTTTGTGTAAGGTACATGATGAGGCTTTGATCTCTCTGAGAATCAAGTGTATCATCTACTGACATAATGAAAAAATTACTATTCAGACAAGACAAGACAAAAGGATTAATGCAGAATGTTCTCGTATGCTCTTTTAAATCATTTCCTACTGCCTTCAACTAAAACGACTCAGTTCTACCCCTGCAAATTGAATCCCCTACCGAGTGGAAGCAAGCGAAGGATTTTCTAGAGTTTACACTCCAAATTCTCAACTGTACTCAAACTAATGCTTTAGAGAGGAGCTAGCAAATTATCCAACAATAATAAAAGTGGGTGAAATGAGGTAAGATGGGGAAATACAAACAAGGAGGCTGATGACAAATAGAAGCAACAATGAAAAATAAATTGTATGATTGGGGGAAAGAGAGGAGGTACACTTCATAGTCACTGGTCTGAAAGCGCATGTCCACCATTCACACCAATTATAATCCAAAGATGGGGATTCACTCTTCCCCTTCTCCTCATCACCTATCTCCAAATCACAAGCAGCCTGGGTCGGAGAGGATCGGGTTTCATCATCAGAAAAACCTCAGATGCCAGCATTGCCCTGGGGGATTCACTATTCTCCTTCTCATCACATACCTCCACATCACCAGCAACCCGGGTCGGGGCAGATCGGATTTCATCAAACTCAGGCATATAATCCTCTGATGACGGCAAATGAGAAACACCCCAGCCATCCTTATGAGACAACTCCTGGCTCTCGGATTCCAATTCAAAAATCTGCAACGATACTTTAATCTGACCAAAACCTCTTCGAGAGATTTCGCCGCTTCATTACAGACATATCCTTCACTAATTCAGAAACCCTCTTCTTCAAGTTTGAAAGAGTCTTCGAGCGACTCTTCCTTGTTGGTCGCTCCAGGTATTCGTCTTCATTGGACGCCTGCACATCTCATGAAGATGACTCGCCTAGGCCGCCTGATAAAGGAAAATTAGAAACACCACTTGATGAACTCTTGCCTTCCTCATGTGACCGTGGCTCCCGCAGATATAACTCCCTCTCTATTTAGCATAATATATGAAAAAGGGCAGAAAAAGATTGGAATTTATGAGAATGCCCTCCTAGATCTAACAATATTGACCATGCAAATGGCTTGTGTAACCGAACACGAGTTATTATTATGAGGCTTGGGGATCGAGTGCTGGAAGCAAAAGTTATAACTGGAAGGAATGCTGGTGACAAAATATCATTGCCTGTAATTTCACTAACATTGTCTAATACCAGAGTGTCTTTCAAGTTTCAGTGAAAACAATTTCCTATCATAGTTTCATATGATATGACAGTAAACAAGAGTCAAGGACAGTCTCTTTCCAAAGTTGGAGTGCTCCTAAAAAAATCAGCATTTAATCATGGACAGTTGTACGTTGCCATGTCCAGAGTTAAAAGCCGTTGCGGGTTTAAGATTTTGATATGTAATAAAGGAGACAACGCAAGGGATGAGACCATGAATGTTGTGTTTAAAGAGGTGTTTCAAAACATTACAACTTCTTCCCTATAAATTCCTTTCGTGTTCTAAACTATTACCGCTTACTATTTACATATATTATTTTAAGCATTATACATTGTATATACTTTATTTCTTACTTTCTCCGTCCCCCAGTTTTTGTCCACTTTTGACTTTTGGAACTGTTCATCTAAGCACTTTGACTTATCAAATTCTCTCAATGTGTAAACCTAAATATAGTCATGTGTGATCTTGTTTGATTTGTCTTAACATACAGATTATTAATATATAATTTCTATAATTTTTTAATATACAAATTACAAGATAAAATGGATTAAAGAAGTGCATTGGATGGTGTGTAAAAATGAAAGTGAACAAATACTCTGGGACGGAGGGAGTAGAATATATCATTCTTGCTTTATTTAAGATGTGGAAAAATTTGAAAATGCATCTTTTCGTTGCCAATGGAGCTAAAAAAAGTCACAACTTTTAGGTAAATAATGAAGTTTTGGGTAAAAAACAGCACTTTAAGCTTCATTTGCTTCTTACTGTCAGTAAAGTTTCGGGTAGTAAATGCAGCAATCCATCAAGGGGCTAAGACAAAAGTCTCATGTATTTTATAGGGGTAAGATTGCATACATCTTGACCCCTAGACCCCCCCCTCCCCAACCAAGTTTTCGTTGAGACCATACTCGGTCTTCTCAAAAGAGTATTCAATTATTAACACAGAATAACATAAAGATGGTATTGGTAGCAGAGTTCAGCAGAAGCTAGGCTTCTAGCAAAGATTAGGGTAGGGGTGATGTGGCTTGATTTAAAGCAATACCTTCAGATTTTGAATCTGCACCATCATTGCAAGAATATCTCTAGAAGCATCTTCATTTATAACAGCCTGTGAATGCAAGATTGGAATTTGTGAGGAAGGTAATTTAGTTACCAATCATTAAGAGTCTGTCCAGATTGCACATCCGAATAGCTATTATATAATTCATTTATGTTGAAAAAATTCCTTGTTGGCACAATTGCATCTTACTATTTTGAAACGTCTTGTACAGAATTTATTATGAACTTCCAAAACAGTGAAGAAAATGAGGCAGGAGAGTGGGGATCACATGAAATAAAGGCTTGTAATTGATACACGATGAACAAGGTTAATGTTTTTGTGAAGTCATCAAGGTCAGGATAAGCACTTACATGATTCTTTATGAATTTGGCACGCTGAGCAAATTTCAATGTGCTTAGAGTTTCTAGAGAGAAGCTGCAGAAGTCAAGTCATAATTATTTGTTTCTTCATTTCAACATTTGGTTAAAATGAACTATTTAGTCTCCAAAACAGGGGAGCCTTTGATCCAAAATGTAACTCAGGATACAAAGACAAATTTGATTTGGTAGAAGGCATCAACGATATGTAATTCTTACCTGCTGGAAGGACTGACGTTGGCAATTATGATTGTTTTTGCATTCCCTCCCAGCGAGTCCTGAAAAGAAGGAATATTATGGGCACTCTCAACCGTATGAAAGTTGTTA